TATATATATATAAATGTAACAACTGTTGAAATGATGGATGGTTGTAGTCAGAGGAAGCATTCATAAATTTTATCAGTGAAAATGCTGCCAAATTTAATTAGATCAAGCAGAAGAAAAAAGAGATAAGTTAGTGAAGACTTTTTCAACACAATGAAACAATGAGGGTTTAAACGAGTAAAAGCGAATCGAAATCGTTGATGGAATATAATCATACCCCTGTTGATGTTGATGCCCATCTCTTTGCCACCTTAGAAACAGGTAAGAAACATTCAACATATATATCCATCCACTTTTACTCCTCCTAGACGAAAATCAGAACATTCAACATCATTTGTCACATTCACGGCAACTTGTAAATGAATTAGTAGTGGTAACAGTGGTAGTAGTAGTAGTGTAGTAGTAATGGTGGTAGTAATAGTAGTGGTAGTAGTAGTAGTGGTAGTAGTGGTAATAGTAGTAGTAGTAACAGTGTAGTAGTAGTAGTAGTGGTAGTTGTAGTGATGGTAGTAATAGTCACCACATTCAAATAATGATGCCTCCTTGCTCACTCACTGACTCAGCAGTATGATAGTGGACAATGGCTCAAAATGGACATCACATAAATGACCCATTATCTTCATATACACACGCACACAGTCATGCATTTACGAATATTAATTTGGAAGTGCTTTTGAAATATACGACTGAATGAATTTCACATTGAACGGAGGACAGCACGCAAATAATACAGAGAACCACTCAGACATACTACTTGCATGCAAGATACAGAGAGAGATGATGAGGAGCTGTCCAATCGTCAACAGAACTATGCAATGCACATGCACACACACATGCACACACATGCACACACATGTACACAAACATGCACATACACATATATACATATATACGCATATACATAACACGTACATACATCACATGCACACAGATTATACACAAGCACAAAAATATGAGAGAGAATCAATAGATGATGCCCTCCAGCGTGAAAATGACATACATCACACAGTAAACAGCAAAAACAGATAGATACAAAGCGGAAACATTTAATACCCATAAACCTATTAATATAACAAAAACGTGTAAGTAAACACGTGCAAGAGCTGCTTGACAAGTCTTCTCCAAATGTGTCACATTCATATTGCAATGGTTTAACTGTTGCGCAGCCAGAAGGACTGACTGATTGAGCGCATCACTCGTTAGGAAAAGATACAATAAAGGAAGAACGGAAATTAGAGATAAATGTATAAATACTGCAATCATTGCCACAGTATTTGCTCGATAGACAACGACTACAGTACCTGATTTTAAATCTATCTAAGTATCTACAAATTTGTTGCTTAGAATTAGCAGTTAACATTAGCAGATAAATCTCGCAAAGTACCAAAACTACTGAATATATGTTAGTCACTTTTTCTATGCTCAAAGGTCACGAGTGAATTATCTCAAGAGTGACCTATGAATAAGATCAGAGACGCTAATTTGCAAGGCTAAAAGTAACGCTAATAAAAATAAAGCAAGAATGATACAACTTTAGTTTGCAAGAATTAAGATAAAAATCATAATACGCACAAGTAAAAATACGACAATTGAGTTGCTAACATCACAAACGTCACACAAATAAATCTTTACTGCGAATCTCAAAATCGCGTGATTGCTGACACTATTTAACGTACCACCTTTTGTGAAATATTGACGCAAGAAGTTGGTGTTGATAGTTTGTGGTAGACTGACTGCTTTGTATTGCTTATTTTGTTTTCCGTTTTTTTAAGGCGTCACGAATTTGTGTATTGATTGGATTCTAGAAATGTTTAGGCATTCTAGTCTTAGTTAGATCAACGAATAACTCGCAAATTTAAATGCGAAACTTATTTGTTTGAGATAATACGGAGCTGTGAATGTGAATGATAAATAAACCTTGAAAGTTTTTTCAGAAATTCAAGGTTGCTGGCATTTCTATCTTATCGCATGACATAGTGCTTCAAAGGTGACAAGTAATTAAATTGGGAAGTGCTATAGCTGAGTGAAATGGAAAGTAATGACATAAAACCGTTTGTGACGACTCGGAAAAATTGTCGAATATCTCGAAACAAAAAACAATACTGGAAGAAGAGTACGAAGGTAGAAAATGTTGAAGATTCTTTGAATGAATCTTGCCAGATTAATACGGCTGAAAGTAAGTAGAAATTTAATAACTAAAATGTTTAAATGTTTCGCCAGAAAAAACGTACATAATTGAAACTGTTTCTTTGTTTTGCTGGAATTTTCGATCATCATTATCTGCATTTAGAAGCCAAATTTTGCTAGAAATATACCTTCCCTTTTATTTTTAAAAATAATTCCTTTTTATTATTAGAAAATTATAGCACAGAAGCAAAATGATAACAATTTATATGAGATCGATAGAAAGTCAAAATTTAACAACAATTTTCCACTGACAAGACGACAGATGGCAGCAATGATGAAGCGGGTGCAAAAAAAAGAGTGAATTTTTACATTAATTTTTATTTTGTTAAGTATTATCTAGCCATTTTAATTATGATAAGTACATTGTAGTTAATGAGGGATGTAGCTTTTAACATGAAAAGTCTGTTGTAGCAGTCGTCGTTTCTGAGTAAGATTATATGAGAGTTTAGTGGTTTTGGTATTTTGAAGACGTATTATCGCGTACCTTGAAGAAGTTTACTTTCAGACCTTTAGAAAAAGTGGAGAATGTCTGCCATCGAAAGTTAAGGACATTTCCAAAAAAGCCATTGAAGCAGAAGATAAAGAAAGCTATCATTGTAACAAAAGAGAAGCGAAAACCATACGATCTTTGGGGTTTGAATTTTCACAAAACTTTACAACTTTTTGGGGTTCAAGTAATGCTCTCAAGCGAGAAAGCAATCATTTAAGTTAATATTTCATGTTATAAGTAACTGTAGCCGCAGTTTTTTGCTTTGTTTTGTTTCTCCTAAATTTATATCGCTTTATAATTTATCTGAACTTAATTACAATGATTTCGCTTTGGAAATTTTTTGCACTTTAAGTTCGTTTTAGGCTTGACGGAACAACCTCAGGAAGAAATTTTCGCGGATAAAGAATATTATTTCCGTGTTACTAAAAAAAAACTGCCAAGAGAGCCAAGAACTTTAAAGCACATAACAAGTATATTACCGCATGTGGAGGTAGATCCCACAGGTGCTTCGTACAATCCGCCAGTTACTAAATACCTAGTACTTACTTTTCTGCAGCAAAGTTTTTAATTTGAAGTTTAGCAAATAACTTCGTCAGTTTCAACACATTCTTTAATTTGCTTTATCATTTGTCAGCATTTTTTTCTGTTTTTTAAAATTCTTATTTCAGCAGGACTTGATTTATTTTGTGTGGGTGTTCACTTTATGTTCTGTTATTTAGTAATGAAAAGCTTAATGATTTACCAGTCACTAGTAAATATGGGGCATCAGCTGTGAATTTTCTTTCTCAGGGCGATAACTAGGCCAAATAGAATGCATGATATAATTGTAGGCAATCTGCATTAATAGACATATATCTTATATTTCAGGATTACATCGCTGAGGTTGCAGAAGAAGAGAAGAAAAAAATGAAAGAGGATGAAATGCTAAAACGTTGTCTTGAGTTGTCAAAAAATGAAAAATACATTACTCAGGTTGGTCATGAAAAACATAATTTCTATTTGTATTTCACTTCTTTCTACAATCTAACGTAGATTTCTAGGAAGAAAAAGAAGCAGAAATGAAGGAAGGCCTTGATGATGATAATAATGGTGAAAATGGAAATGATGAAGCTGAAATACTGGAAGAAAATGAAATGAGTGCAGAAAGTAAGTTGGATGTGTTTGAATTCAAATAGTTTTTAATAAAAAAAATTATTGTGATGTTTTCTTTCCAAATGTTTTATGGTGTATTTTTTACTTGTATTAGTATTCATAAATCTGTTTTAAGGAAAAGCCACAAAAAATAAAGAAAAACGGAGAACAAAAAAAGCCCGTCGTAGAGAATTGTTGGAAAAAAAGCGAATGGAATTAAAAAATAAACGCAAATTTCGAAAAAAGCAAATGCACCTTATCAATTCGTTAGTATATGAAATTTTACTTTAAATTTGAGTTCTTAAATTTACACCATTCTTCAATTTTTTTGTTTCTCAAGTGCCCTGATTTCGATAATCGTGATTATTATATAGAGTTCGGAAGTTGACGAAAGAAATCCGAGATGAGTTACAAAAGCAAGAAGAGCTGGCAAAAAAACGAGGCGAGCAAAAAGTTGGTTTCATGCTTTTATTTTTACTCGATTTCGTTGTGCAAAGAATGAATATCTTAAAAAAATATTATATTTACCTTTGCATTAAAGCTTTTTTGTGCTTCAGAAATCAGAAATGATTGGGATTTTAATTTATCTGTTTTTATGTGTACTGATATTTCAGGTGCTGAGAAAATTTGCTGGTACGCAACGTTTAGGTCGCGGTAAATTTGTGCCTTGTGAAAAACCAGTATTGTTACCGGAAGAATTGCCCAGTTCATTACGAGATGTGAAACCCCAAGTTCGTTTTTAATCTATTGACGAAATAAATGAATTGTGGTTTCATAATGCCTAGATCTTTTGTCAGTCTGCACTGCCTTTTTTTAATCTTTAGTCAATAGAGTGACGTAATTGATAATGCATTAATAAATCTGAGTCAAGTGCTGACGTAGTATATTCGAGTAAAATTTATAATGAGTTGACTTAAAATATGGCTTATGACCAGAATAAAGTTCTTCATGTATAAAATGTGAATGTTGCATGTGATTTGCTGTTTTAGTTGTGATAGTTCTCATCCATTTTCATGCATTTTTTGTGATAGCATCTTTAGATGTTTCAGGGTAGTATTTTAGCAGAACGTGTGAAAAGTTGGCAAAAAAGGAATTTACTTCCAGTAGCAGGAGAGCGAAGAAAGCGGATGAAGTTGAAAACAAAGCTGCGAATTAAAATGAAAGAAGATAGGAAGCACAAACAAGTGAAGCTTGGTACCACTTTAATATGATACAGTACTTGTAAAGCAGTGTGGATTTTTTCGAGGGTGATTTGTTGTCTGTGGTTTTGTTTATTAAAACCGTTGGAATTGTTAAAGCGATGCTCATTTGTGATCTAAAATTATTTATTAAAGAGAACGGCTATTGTTCGAAATGAGGTTTGTCTTTGTGAGCTTGATTTTGTTTAAAAAAGACCAATTATATCATTGCTGAATTACGAGAATAAATCCAGTTTTTCGGGTATTAAAAAAAGATAGTATTACATCAGCGAGTACAAGTTACTTGGAGAACATGTGCTAAGTCGTATTTTGAATTTAGGATATAATGTGAGATAAAATTGTGATAGATAATTGAATAGATAAAAATTAATGATGCATGCATTAAAATGTAATGGCAATGAGCTGTAAATTAAAGAAAAACAACAGCGCACAGAAGTACATTGTCCCTTGTTGAGATACTGTTGTGTAACTGTGATGGCAGAATTAGGACAACATAATTGACCTCAGACCATCTCATCGCCCCCTCCCCCCTTCTAATTTGAGTGGGAAAATTATGCTAATTTGAATGAAAAAATTGCTGCTACATTGTGGTGACGTGTTGCTGAAGTATAACTGTGGGAGAAAAAAGAGCTCTTAGCAACAATTTGCATGAAGTTTTTTAAAATAATGCTCATCTATGGGTGGTGAGTGTGCTGTTTATTGTGTGTGAAAACGAGAAAATTTTGAATGTGAGGTTTAAGTGTATACGTGCATATGGGTGTGCATGACTGTGAATGAGGTAAGTACTTGCTAAGTGATGTGCAAATACAATGGTAGAAAAGACATATATGGATAAATAGTTGAGATGAATAGGTTGATGAGTTGCTACGGTGACTGGTGGAAGAGCAGTAATAACAGAATTTGTTAAACAACGACATTAAGAGTAGCAGTAGCACTAGCAGTAGCAATAGTAGAGATGGTGGATTGTGGAGGAGATTGTTCGAGAAGAGAAAGAAAGAATGACCCAGTGACCCCATTCGGCAGTGCAAATTACCTGAATATACGATGTTGTAAAGAAGAAAGGAAGTCAGTCAGTTGTGTGGTCTTGTAGAAATCAGCCCATCGTCAATAATAATAAATATGCAAGGCAGGCATTATTCACTAATTGAGTACATCTGATAGTTCCGCATAGAGGGAAATAGCGACGATTCTGTGGTTGTTGCATACGCTTGCTTTGCTACATACTGCTCGTGCAAGGAGAAGTAGCGCAAGTTGAACTGATTTAATCGGAGTACCCTCCGGCTACCTTATCGTTACTTGACTGACACGCTCATCAACAGTGCCAAGCAAACACTCCATACCTTGCTATTCTTACATTATTCATTTATGAAAAAGCATTTTGCTAATTTAGCAGATCTACAAGACTAGTCTAGTCAATCAACACATTGCTTGGTTACAATTACTGGAAAGATGTAAAGTGGGTAGTAATTAATTATATCAGATCACACGCTAGTTTATTACGTGTGACTTTTTACATGTAAGACAAGTTTCCACTTATGCAATGTTTTGAGCAGATTTTTCTATGTATCGGAAAATAAGAATGATTTGGCTAGTGATAAGAGGTAAAGTAAATGATGGGAAAAAGTTGTAGGGTTGAATTAGTAGCAATTTTTGTGGTGAAATATAAGAAATTTCATCGGGTATTTTAGTGTGATTGCAGTATTTTAATAGCTTGAAAATATAACTGCTTAAAAGAATATTTTAAAATATAACTTGGACTGATTGGTCATTTTGGATTCAGACTAGGGTATGCATGATTGTCTTTAATGGGTATCTTAACTGAGCAACAATGCTACTCACACAGATAAAAATGTTGTTTATTAATTTTCATATTTGTGCAAAAGTTACTTAGAAGAAAGTATTTATCTCTCCTTGAGAAACTTCTGCAACTAAGTTGCAATAATGGATTATTGTTAACATTTAGCAAAGTATCACTGTATTTTTAGCATATTATCTACCATAGAGTAATCAGCAATTACATGGTACGAATTTCCTTTGTTATGCATTTAACATTCCAAATAATAAATATTGCCTGCAAGTAAATAATCACAAATTATGTCTATAAAATATACAAGTACAAATAACATGGATAAGCAAATTGTATGTTAATTTTTTCAACTGAATGTTAACAGAAGTGGTTATGTTATCTGTTGTCTTCTGATGTGCAGAGAATATCAGCAAGCAAGTTAGAATGATTAGACGTTAAGATGAAAGAATTGAAAGAATTAGTCCATCCAACATTTTACCTTTCAGCAAATACATGACAAAATTTATCAACCAAACAGTGGCTTTTGTATTCAAACAAGCAATCTCTAAATTAATTCCTGAATAATTTCAAAATTTTTTCATACAGATTTATTTATCCATTTGATTTCCATAATTTATTTTCAGACAAGAAATTGAGGTCATCACTTTCCACAGCGCAACTGTGATTAATTTTAATCCTTCGGGAAAAATTTAGCTAATGCGTACGAATGATTGATTATCAACTAGTTTAGTTGCTACTTTTTGCTGCAAATGGTACTTAAATTGAATAAATAATAGCAACTGCAGTAAGTTAAGTAAAAAAAGAAATATAAAAAAGCAAACATACCAATAATAATAATAATAATAATATCACTCATAACTTTAATAATCTTCTGAGAAAGTAAAAGATGGTCGATTAGCGTTGTATTTTCTGAAGTGAAAAAAAGAGAGTTTGAAAATATGTTTGCATTGTTGTTGCTCAGATATGTTTGTCCATCTCCGTGTGAGTGCGTGTGTGTATGCGTGTGTGTGTGTATGCGTGTGTGTGTGTGTGTGTGTGATACATTTGAAAGGCAAAATTTGTGGTAGTGTGCTGACGAAGATAAAAGTGAAAATTTGGGGAAATAGGTGACCGAATTGCGAATATATTTTCCCTTTCATTTTGCATTTCATTTCGGAGCATAGAACCGTTTCCAGCCATGACGTCCTTATCTCATCCACTACCACATTTTCCCATTAAGGTATGCAATTTATACCTAAATTTTTACCTCATTTTTACTAGAATTGTGAAAATTATCTTAATTTATTATCATATACTATATTAGTATTTCAATACTATATTAGTATTTCAATCATCAAAGTTAAAAACAATTCACATATGTAATGCAAATGATTTTGCAATATATCAGCCAATTATTACGTGCATGCACGTGTTTCTGCGTGTGTGTGCGTGTGTATATGTTTGTGTGCATGTATGTATTAGGTGTGCAAGTAATAACAAATTTGAAACAGAACCTTTCTATAGATGGAAAATGCATTATTTATGAAACTTTTTTCCGAATTCAATGCTGTTTTTTTTAAACTGTGAATCTTTTCCACTCATTTACGTGTCATCACATACTTACCAAGAATTAATAGAATTTGAATTCTGTACATGAAGCAAAAATATAGCTAACATTTAGAATCGATTTTAATTTATGCCAATTAAAGTTATATTTGATGTTAATATTAACTTCATCAGTTTCTGCATCTGTAAATTTAATATTTTAAGAAGCATGAGAAATTATAGCAAAAAGTACTCAGTTTTCAGAGATTAAAATGCATAAGTAAACTTGAATTGAATTACTAAGAAGACAAAAAGAACGATAAAATGCGAATGCTGGATAAGTTTGCATGAAAACTTTTGTTAAGCACTT